AGATTAATACAGACCCTAATATAGACTCTAGAGACACACCTCACACACACACAGATTAATACAGACCCTAATATAGACCCTAGAGACACACAGACCCTAATACAGAGTCAGCTATCCCAGTCCCCTGATCTCTGTTTGTTTTTACAGAATCCACAAGCTTACAATAGACAACGTGAAGCCGGAAGACGAGGGCGACTACACCTTTGTCCCCGACGGCTACGCGCTCTCTCTCTCCGCAAAGCTCAACTTCCTGGGTAACGGAACTCTCTTGCTCTCTTGGAACGAGGCGGCCGGATCGATCGCAATGTGACACATGACACTCTTAGGACGGGCAGCGGTGAGCTGCACCGATACAGTATCTCCCCTAGCTCGCTGGCTGTAGACAGTAGACAGCATGAGGGCTCACAGTCAGGTCGGACAAGATGGCCGGCCTGTCTGGACTACATTCCCCAGAGGCCTTTGCTGCTGCCTTTGGTCACCTAACCAGGAAACAGAGGCTTTCTGGGCCGGGCGGTGTTTATTGGCCGTGCGAAGGGGGGGGACAGAAGGCAGACCCTCTGCGTGCGCCACTGGCCAGAGGAGAAAGGACCGACCCAGGGATTGTGGGGGTTTCGGAGGTTTTGAGTGGAAGAGTCCCAGGGACCCGGGGGGCCATGTTGTCTGAAGCAGCCGTGCTCTCGCAGTGGACATACAGGCAGCTGCTGGCTGTACTAACTTTCTCCGTTTCTCTGTGTCTTCCTTTCAGAGATCAAGATCGACTACGTTCCTCGTCAAGGTGAGTGAGCCCCTTATATAAATGATGACGATGATGATGATGATGATGATGCCTTCTTTTCACAAAACTAAATTCCCTGCGTGCTCCCCTCTGCGCCATTCCTCCTCCTCCGCTGCTCTCGTCCTCTTCCTCCCTCGCCTTCTCCGCCATCCCCACCCTCCCCGCTGTCCCCAGAGCCCCCCAAGATCCACCTGGACACCACGGGCAACGTCGTGTCCCAGAACACCATCATTGTTGTCGCTGGCAACAAGCTGCGGCTGGACGTGGAGATCACGGGCGAGCCTGCGCCCGTCGTGACGTGGGCCAAGGCGGACCAGGTGAGAGGAGGAGGAGGGGACAGAAGTGAGGGCGGCCGATTCATTTC